TGTGTTTGTGACGTCTTTATGTGCATGCTTATCCACAACCTCACTTCCTCCTTTCACATAAGAAGTGTGTGAGCTATGACATCACCTATTGGTTTCTTAAATATCCCTTTGAAGCTGTTCAAAAACCTGACAAGAAGTGGTGCACCTTACAGAAATGCTTAATTATGACAAAACCTATGAACAAATAGATAACTTAGGCCTTTCAAACCTCAGTGAGCCAGTCAACAATTATTCAAATTACACCTTTGATGGTTACTGGCCTGAATACAAATGAGCATATGATGGGTAACACCTGCAGACTGCTGCTGAAAAATACTCATGGGCAAAAGATCACTTTAAATAAAAGTTCTCATCTTAAGTGGTGATAAAATTGTGTTTTTCATGTTTCACTACAGAAAAGTTTGTCTAATGCAGCTAATAGTTAATCACCGTGTGAGTGTGACAGAAGCCATATCAGAATAAAGGAAATGAGTTGATGAAAACAAAAACAATTCTGCTTTAAATCGGATAATGCAGAGAATGATGCTGGACCATGTGGTCAATGTGTCCCGCTTGGTCAAGTTCAGCCATCTTTGTGAGCTCAGGGATCCACAAAGGACACTGCGATGTAGCGGACACCGGCGGTGGTGGGCAGACCTTCGTGGTAGTGGGTGAGACGGCCCGGGTGCAGAAGGGCCCAGCCTTTACGAGGAGCCTGAATGGAGCAGTCATAGCGGAGGAACCTGCATCCACCACCCTGCAGCCAAGAAACAGTACATATCAACAGCTGATGGCTGTGGCAGTTTTATGATCATTAACAACCCTTCAACAATTTCCTGAGCTCTTCATTAACAGAAATGATACAAAAGCCTTTTTTTCTATGCCTCACTGCCACAAACTGAAGAGGACAATCAACATTCAGATTTGGGCTGCTGGTAAACCAGCTGTTTGTCTTTTAATGTTTGCATGAAGAATGGGTTTATTTCATTCTGTGATCAAAAGAATGAATTTGTAATGATTTGGTCTCTGTGCGAATAAAACCAAAATACATGTTAACTGAAACGTAGGTGGAAATGGAGCGCTTGACACTCACCTGGTAATCAAGGTCTACTTGGTTGAGTGCAATGTTTACAGTGAATGTGGAGGCATCATGGTGCGGCCTTAAGGAGGGTTGCTCATCTGGCTTATATCTAACTACAAAGGCTAATTCGAAGTGAGCCTGCAAACACACAGAGGGAAAAGAATCATGCAAATGTTTGCCTGTAGCCCCCTGTACACAGATACACTCCAGTTTATTGAATAAAAGCAGAATCCTGGTTCTTGGTCCAGCATTCACCTCCAGAGATGGAACAGAATGTGTAGCTGTCATGATGTGGCATGAGAGGGGTCAGGTTTCTGTCCCACTACACTAAATCGACTGGAGTGTAACACGCTGATGATAAGACATGCTGGTCAGTAATACACACACAGGATGGTAAATGGCCTGTATTTATATAGCGCTTTACTAGTCCCTAAGGACCCCAAAGCGCTTTACATATCCAGTCATCCACCCATTCATGCACACATTCACACACTGGTGATGGCAGCTACATTGTAGCCACAGCCACCCTGGGGCGCACTGACAGAGGCGAGGCTGCCGAACACTGGCGCCACCGGGCCCTCTGACCACCACCAGTAGGCAACGGGTGAAGTGTCTTGCCCAAGGACACAATGACTGAGACTGTCCAAGCCGGGGCTCGAACCGGCAACCTTCCAATTACAAGGCGAACTCCCAACTCTTGAGCCACAATCGCCCCAGCACAGATAGCAGCACAGAAACAATGAGAGGTCGACTGTTATCCTGTTTTACTCAACAAGTTCATAACATTTAACGGCTGATTTTGTCCTCCAGTTGTTCTACCAGTTAAATAACCAGATATCAAAATCATTGGTCATCACCTGATCATTACACAGTACTTTCAAACATCTCAGAAGAGATGCAGTTACATCTGTCGTGGCCCTTTTTTAAGACACTCCGGCTAGGCCGTACCATGATGTACCATGATGAAGCTCGCATAGCTTATAAATGTTGGGCCATGGCTGGAAGACCTAAACAAGGCCCAGAATTGGAACAGAAAAAATGTGCGAATGCCAGATATAAGTACGCTGTTCGCTTTATAACTAAAAATGAGCAAATGCTGAGAGCAGATTCTTTGGCCAGGAAAATGCTGTGTAATAATATGACAGATTTTTGGAAAGAGGTGAAAGCTCTTAATAACTGTAAACCATCTCTACCATCAACTGTTGAAGGTGTTTCTGGGGCAGATAACATTGCAGCATTATGGAGACAGCATTACAGTGCGTTGTTTAACTGTATAAAAAGTGAACCATATGAGGACAATTTTGACATGAGTAATGACACAATAAGTGTAAGGACATATGAAGTATATGAAGCCATTCATAGGTTATCTAATAATAAAGCTTCTGGTTTGGATCACATCACTGCAGAACATTTAAAACATGCTAGTTTAAGGCTAGCTCCTCTTCTAGCACTCTGTTTCACTGGGTTTATGATTCATGGCATATTACCAGACTCAATGCTGTGTATTTTACTGGTACCAGTTATGAAGGACAAAGCTGCAAAAGTGAGCTGTTTGGATAATTTAGGCCGATTGCACTAGCCAGTATTTTATCTGAGGTGTTAGAAAGAATCTTGTTTGACAGAGTTAGTGTGTTCATCTCTTCTCTGGATAATCAGTTTGGCGTCAAACCAAAGCACGGCACTGACATGTGCATATATGCACTCAAGGAAGTAGTCAGTTTGTACAGGGCTAAAAATTCATCTGTCTTCATGTGTTTCATTGATGCCTCTAAGGCTTTTGATCGAGTGAACCACAGAAAACTTTTTGATAAATTGAAGAGACGGGGAGTTCCTCAATACATCGTGAGGATTCTCTCTTACTGGTACGCTCATCAGAACATGCAGGTTAAATGGGGAAGCAGTATTTCTGCCCCCTTTGGTGTCAGCAATGGTGTTAGACAGGGTGGGATTTTGTCTCCAATTTTATTTAATCTATATGGTAAATGATTAAATAAAATTGAACTTAAAATCTTTGAAGTTCAAAACAAAATTTACTGATTTCTTTTAAGTAATTGTGCATTATGTATATTATGGTTTTATATTTTTACAAATGCTTTATATATATATATATATATATATATATATATATATATATATATATATATATATATTATATATATATATATATATATATAAATAAAAGCCGGGTGGGAAGCTGGTCCTGCAGGCTGGGGAACTCTCACACGCCGGCTGACACGTGAGACACAGAAAGGTCGTAACAGAAATCCTGCCAGGCTACTGAGAAAGGTTCTCACCACAAAGGTAAACGGACACACACTGTCACCACACACTGAACTGCACACTCACGGTACCACACAAAGTACACACATGCACACCAAATGATCACAGGTTTCATGTCTGTCAGCTGTTTTATATGTAAGCTGTGGGATGTGGCCGGCCTAGCTGGAGTGTCTTAAAGAAGTATTCATGTGCCATTGCTTGAAATTTCTTCCTGTTTCTACAAACACTCAGGTATATGTGTGTACTAAAGATTTAAAAAAATGAATCAGTGCATGTGACACCAAAATGTCAAGAGCAGGTGACGTAAATGAGCTGAGAATGTGTTCACAGTGTGCTTCTTCAGTAAAGCTGAGAACATCCTTCACAGATCTCACATGGAAGGAGATTCTTGAATTTTCTCTGAAACATTTCACAAGTGTGTGTAGTGATGGTCTTACCTTGGTGTAGTATCCAGGGAACATTTTTTCTGTGATTGGTACCACATACTCCACTAAGAATTTCTGCCATTCTTTTTCAAAGTTGATTTGAATCATATGGATGTCGATGGTGGGGACATTCTCATAGCCACCAGTGATTCGGTTATCCTGGAAAAACAAGAAACTTCTATCAGGTATATAGTTAAAGTACAGGAGGTATTCAGGACCAGATTCCAGAAAGGTTGGGAGCCTGTACGGTGTGAATAAAAACAAATACAGTTATTTGTAAATCTCCATATTTTAAAACCACATTTTATTCACAACAGAATATAGAAAACATTAAATGTATGAACTGGGAAACTGACTTTTTAAAAAAGACACTTATGGCCTTTTTCGGATTTGATGACAGCAACAGGCTGAAAAAGTAAGTAGTACTAAAAAGAAACTGGAGCTGTTGGAACAATTTGAATGAACTTGGTTAATAAGTAACAGGTCAGTGACATCAAATAAAGACGAGCAGAGAGAGGTTTACCTGTCTGCAAAAAATTGCATCTATAAATTGTGAAACAACTTCAGAATAATGTCCTTCAACAAAACTGATCTCGTTATTATTGTACGATCTACTGTACAATATAAAGTGCGAGTACAATATAAGGCGACTGTTATTGTGATTTGGCGCTTTATACATAAAATTGAAGTGAAAATTGAAATTGTTATCAGTACAGAATATCATCAAAGGATTCAGAGAATCTGGATAAATCTGTGTGAAAATCAGTGCAAACACAGTTTGCTGTGCTGTCCACAGATGCAGGTTCAGGTCTCTCTCTGGGCCAAGCAGCTTTAAAATAGACTGCAGAAGAAAACATGGATGCTGCTCTGGTCTGAAGTGAAAAGAGACCGTTTGGCTTTTTATCCGCACTCGTTTCAAAAGCCTGCGTCTCTGATGGTACTGAGGTGCATCGGTGTCGATGGAAGCTGCAGCTTGCTTGCTGTTATTGCTTTACAATGACATATGCTCGGATCAAAACGAGACTATTCTAAACTGCATACTGCATCTGTTAGAATACCTCAGCTTGGTAGAGTTCACGTGCTGAACTTCAGGCCTAACTTTTCCTCAAATGAAAACATTTATGAAGCAATATGATGATGAAGACCCAGAGCTGTGGAGGAGCTAGAATCCTATATCAGACGAGAATGGAACAACACTCCTCTCCCAGGATGTTGTTCAGCATAAATGAAAACTACTCTCAGTTTTAATTGGAGATAAATGATCTCAATTTCAGCAGCAGGGCCACACCTCCAAACACGCCCCTTCCAGGTCTTACCCCCCAGGTCTACAAGCTGTCCCTCCCCTTTTTAATTCTTTCACTTCTCATTAGTACACGGGGATCTGCCAGGCCCGGGCGCCGCCGCCAGGCCCCATCGAGGCCTTCACCAAACAGCAGCTCAATTCTTGATTAAGCCTTTATCTACTAAAAAACCTAAAATGAGGACGTGAGTTCAGCGAGTGAAATACACACTGTTGTTAAAGAAGAGGGAATCTTCACAGTGGCTGTCTTTACCTTTAGAGAGATGTTGCTGTCATCAAATTAAATATGAGCTAGTATGTTTCTTAAAATGGCACATTTTATAAGCGTTTGATATGTTTTCTTTGTTCTATTTGAATACAAATATGAGTTTCTGAAATTTGAAAATCACAACATTCACTTTTTATTTTTTTACACGACGTTTTCAGAGTTGGGTATGTAGCTGGAAGATGCAAATGACATGAACTTGTGACAAATAATGCAAACAAAGACTGAATATAAGGAACACTGGAGCTCAGTGATGTCGTCTTATTACATGACTGACATGTTATTATCAATAATCATGACTACATGATTAATGTTAATAACAAGATGCCTTACCGCATTGCCCCCTCCTGACCACTTTCCATAGTGCTCCATTTCTTCAATCATGTGGTTACAAGCAACAGTGGAGAAGACTGGGAACCAGTACACATCTGGGCAAGGCTGGAAGGCAGAAGATACAACAGCATTAAGCACCGAGTAACAGCTTGTAACAGAACTGCCTCTTAAAGGAAGGTCTACAAACTGAGGACGGTGTTAGTTCCTCTGGTTATGGCAGATGTAACTGAACTAACTTCTTATCTGTGCCACAATATTTATAAGAAACATGGAAGTTGATAGGAGTTCAATGTATTTGCTTTTGCCTCTTCTAAACACAACAGCTCATTCAGTAGGTTAATCTGACTCCAGCTCAGCTCGAGTTTAAACTTACATTTTCAATCAGCTTGTCCTTCATGATGCGGGTATAGTTCTCATGGATGTAGCGCTCCTCCCAGTCCTGAAATAAATATAACATACAGATTTGCTCATTGCAAATCACACCGTGTCCTCATCAAACCTTCGCGTAGACGCAGAAATTCTTCTAGACTGCCTTCTTTTACATATGAAGATCAGACGGTGGCTTAGCTTAGACAGTAACGTTAAAAAACGTTTAAACTGACTGTTTCAGTAATGTTGATGTTGACATGTATACTAAAACTTTGATACTTTATGCTGATGTCAGCACTCGTAACACGGAAATCCCCTATAACGACATCTACAATGTTCTCATGGATCATTTGTGCTGAAGTCGTATAATGTTGTAAAAAAAAAAAAGAAGATTGGTTCAGCACATCTGTGAATATATCTTATCTACCATCACATCACAAAAAATACAAACTGAATTTCACTGTGAACATTACAAAAGACTTTCTCAGACAGTTTTCTGTAGATAATTACTTTTAAATTTCATTTTTCTTTTCAGGATTTTTCTGAGAAATATTCCAAATATGTGTGTGGAGCTAAGATGATTGAAGACACTGTGTCTGAAGAAGCGCACAGAGGGAGGAAATAAGCATAGCTCTTATTTTACAGTATACATGGCAAAGCATTTTAATACTTAACAATTTAAGTGGATGTGTACTGTAGATGATACAGTCCTGATCAAAAGTTTAAGACCACTTGAAAACTCATATTTTGCATGGTTGGATCTTAACAAGGTTCCAAGTGGAGCTTCAACACGGAACAGGAAGAAATGGGAGTGAGACAAACCAGAGTGAGACAACACACCTGTCAGACTTAAGATCCCAAACATATTTTGTATTATACCTTCATGAACACATGATTTATGAATCCAGTTTGCACTTGTTTCCTGCACAATGTCTGTCTTACGTCTACTGTTTGTAGCTAACTTCATTTTTACTTTTACATTTTTGTATCTCATAGTATAAGAGGCCCTTACCAGGCATCTGTGGCACCTTTACTATTTTTGTTGTTTATTTATTATTTACTGTAACTGTAACACAGCAGTTTCCCTTTGGGATCAATGAAGTGTTCATCTGTCATCCATCTAATGATTAGGAAAACCGATGAGACCAGGATGTGGATTACCATGTGACTTTTTAAACCTGCCATATTGCAGTACATACATGATATGACCTGCATGTTGTCATGCTCTGATGACGGTCATAAAACTGAAACGTTAGCATGTTTGGTGGCATGGCAAAAATACACTGGTGAAATTGAGATATGGCAACTATTCCCCTGAAATTTTAAGCCAGTCCGACATATTTTAGATTAGGTTTATCAAAGGTTTCCTCGAGGAGGAACTGTGGACGTTCTCTCGCAGATATATATCATCATTTGGTGTCCTAGTAAAAAATAGCAAGCGGTGTTTCTTTAAACCCAACCTAAAAACCCACTGTCTATACATTCACACAAACTACATTAATTATTTAAACACTCTTCATATGTTACACTGTTTTATTCCTTTGCTTTGTTTTTCCATTTTGTCTCATTTTATATTTGTGATTCTGATTTTATATAAACACAGGGATCCTTTACTGAGCCTATATAACACATAGTGTCTGAGTGGTGAGATACTGTGTACTTATATGAATGTTTTGATTTTGTAGCTAACATTTATACATCACTATAAAATTAAAACAGCTTTTATATCGTACATACAGTAGCAGCTTAATTCCACCAACTTCATTTCTGCCACTGCAATAACCATTCTGCCTGCCACAAACACTACAGCAGCTAGTAATGTTTCCATCTCACCACTGGATTTTCAAAGATCTGCCACAGATCATTGTGTAGATGACCGGTCTGGTAATTTTCTGTAGACAGGATGCGGCCAAATGTGTGCATGTTGGTTACATACATGAAGATTCCCTGAGAGCAAAAACAACAGGTCAGTCACTACTGTGGACAGTTTTGAACTTTTCTTTAGGTTAAAAAAACAGTTTCCTGTTTCTCTTACTGACCTTGTTGCGTATGTTGTGGCAGAAAGCCATGTCAGGGTCCGAGGAGCTGAACAGCTCGTAGTCTTTCAGCTCTCTACGGAGGAGGCTGCCTTTCACCAGGTACACATTGGACACATATGGCACATTCCAGACGCCCCTAAAAACAACAGATAATTGATGGACCAACAAATGTTCCAATGAAGTCTTAGCTGCTACAAATTTCTGTTGGTCATTATTTAACAAGCCCACCCTACAGGCACTTTTTTCAGGCCTGCTGTGCTTTTTTTTGTGGCGAGTTGAACAAAATGTCATCACTGATGCAAGCTGACTGTTAGTTGGTGATGTATGTTGAACGTGACACGTGAAACGAACAAAAAAAGAGAACGTAGCGTCTCAGGGGAATGAGGCAAAGAACACGATACACTAATGCACACATCACTGTAGAGCTGTCCACCATGTTGGACGTGATAACCTGTGGCGATCACGTCCAATCACGCCTACATTTCTTACATAAACATGATCACTGCCCACCTTGCTTACACTCAGCTGTCAATCATCAAGGACAGAAGGAGAATCTTTTTATACCTCTCCTTCATCGTATACATAGAATTTGTTATAAGTTATTTCAATTTTTAAACTCACCAGTATCTGTTTCAAATAATATTTGACCATTTAAAAATCTTACAGTTATATTTTTATTATGTCTTTCTAGTTTTTTCTTTCTAATCTTTCTCATCTGCCTTCTCCACCACTTCTCCCATCCTCATCCCCATCTCATCCTCTCCCTTCTCACCTGAAGCCTCACTCTTGAACTGAAGTAATGGTTCTAGCATAAGAAATCCTACAGGAACATACTCATTTATTCTTGATGTTGTTGCAGTTATTAATTATCAGCAGATCAGACATCCCTCCTATCTCCAGACAGGTGACGAGAGCCAAAGAAAGCTGAATTTACGGTCGAGCAGAGGGAGCACAATCGCTGTCAGATGCTGTCAGTCAAAGCATTTTATAGATACAACATCTCCATATTTCCACATTTCACCTTTTTTCTCAAAATTGCATTTAGACATCAATCTTGAAATTTCTGCTTTATTCTCAAAGACATTGATGTTTTGAGGTTTTTGTTGCTGTTCTCCGGTTCCTGCTGAACTGCGCTATCACAGAGCGTGAACTCCATGATGACACACTTTCATCCCAGAGCTTTATTATTCTGAAGGATCAAGTGAAGGTGGATCTAGCCAAGGTCCAGGTGGGTTGTACTTACAAACAGCCACAGCAGTTCCTGCCATTTGACAACTTCTACCATCGCTTTATCTTTATCAAGACAGGTCTGCCTCTCACCTCTCCTAAACTCTCGATCTATTTTAAATTCTCATCCAGCTCCTGTGCTCACACACACTTGTGAACATTGGGGCTAAGGTTGCTGAGAATCAAACTCATTCGATTTTTAAAAGATGAACATATAGCACCAGTTTGAAAATCCCAATTCCTTCTTGAGTTATTGTATTCACAGGATTTTCTGGAAACTTGACCTCTGACCTTGACCTTTAGGTCACCAGGATTCAAACTTGTCTGAGAGTTTTCCTAGATACACCTAGACACACTAGTTATTGCAGGCACAGATTTGGGTATCTGTACCACCCACAGGTGACGACAACACCCCCTCAGCCTTTTATGGTCAAAAATGAGGAATGCAAAAAAAATTCTAAATGCTGACAAAGGTTTTAGGGAGCAAATAAGCAACTTACACTCTCCGTCCTTGTACAATGTCCACATAGTCCTCAGACCTGGCGTAGTAGCCGTCTCCACTGAGGGCTCCCCAAAAGTTGCTCCACAGCCGACCAGCTCGAGTTATCATTGGTGCTACAATAGGACTGCAGGAGGCCATTCAAGAAGTGCTATGTGTTACATTTCTTCATCTAGACATATACTCAACTCACATAAATACACTAGAGCTAAAGAAGTTAAATGTGACTGTGACTACTGCCAGCACATCAGTGAATGACTCAGTATAAAAACATTTCCTTACAGGTTTTGTTCAATCAGAATTTTGAGTGTATCCTTGTTCTTTAAGACCACTTCAATGTCCAAACTGAAGAAATAGTCACAGTCCTGGTCCCTCCGGCACAGATCGCTGAAGAAGAAAACACACTGATAGATTAGCACATATATTATAATAGAATTTAAAGAGCAATCTGTTATTGACCTTAATACTGTATAATGAAGAGTACACATCATCTTCTACAACTCAGTTGATAAACATTTTAAAATGAAGATGTGTCACGTTCTGGTTGGACAGTACTCACAGGCCTAGGTTCCTAGAGGCAGCTCCATCCATCTCTTCTTCAGGTTCGATGACTGTGACATTCTCATACAGGCTTCCATAATCCTTTAGGAAAGATCGGACCTGACGCTGATGATGAGCTTCCTGGAGGGAAAAGGAAAACACAAAGAAATGCAGAGCAGGAAGACTGCTGTGAAGATAAATATGTTGCAAAATGTAGAATAAAAAGTGAGAATGTGTAGAAACCTGTACGTTTTTTACACGCTTGTGTTTTAAATTTACGGTTACAGAAAAAATGCATAGATTGATGTTTTCACAAATATACTAGAACTGCAAACTTGTAATTCAAATTTTTGTCATATTTATTTATTTGTTTACTTCTTATAATCACAAATCTGAATAAAAGTGCTTGACTGCATCCTCTCAAGTCACAAATCCACAATCTGCACTTTGACTGTGATGTGTGGTAAAACTCGAGCTTGTAGGCGGTGGTGAGGAGCATGGTGGTTGGGGGTGGAGGGAGCAGGTCAGCCAATCAGAAAGCAGAAGACCAAATGATCTTCATTAGCCAATGGTACAGCAGCATTTGACATCATACACACGACTGTTGCTGACCTACTGCATAAACACGCAGAGGCTTTAATCACCATCACTGGTTTAATCACACCACTCTGGACTCCAGTCTGCCCACTTTGCAGTAATATGTGGACTGCAAAACACGGGACAATAAACCTCCTCCCACTCAGTGGATCAGACCACACTCTTGTCCAGTTAGCACCTCAGTATGTTCCTGCTGCTTCCTGTTGCCACCAAGTCTGCAAGGAGGTGGAAGCAGGAAGCCAGCGAGGCTCTGCAGAACTGCTTGAGGTGTCTAAAGAGTGTGAAAATGCATCAACAGCGTATTCATTACATGTAAGAGTAAAAGACACTCGATTTCAAAGATGTGACAAAAGATTTCCTGCAAAAATGTCACAGGCTATAACACCACCTAAATGTTTGCCAAATCAAAAAAAAAGTTGAAAAGAATGTACAGAAATGTCTGAGGAGGGCATAAAGGTTAACCCATATGACAAAGGTGGGGAGGCGCCAAAGGATAACTGCTGCCTGGACATTGAGGACACTGTGTACAAATCACAAGTACTTGATTCCCTCCAACTCTCTGTGGCTAAACGCACTGCTGGGTTCCACACACAGCAGTCTAACAAACTATTCTCCTAGTTTCATGGACTTTGTCAAAGAGAAAATCATGAACCATCTTCTGTTAAATGCTAATCATCTGTCTTACCTACTAAGTTACGTTAAATCCAGCAGGTTAATAATTTTTAGAAGGACTGAAAATGTCCTTATAAACCTTCATGTGAAGAGAAGTCCTCAAAAACGTCAAAGTAAGAAGGTCATGCAGCTGTGATAAGAGTAGATACTGTAACCATTCTGATTCCATTATCGATATCACTTATCGACTGTCACTGGCTCTGCTTTGAGAGTCACCACCGTCCCTAAGCAACACATCAACAGCATTACATTCATGGACATACTTGCACGCTATGCGGTCAAATGTTTGTGGGTGTTTGTTGAGGTTTTTCCTTTCTTCGTCACGTGTGTTATGAATAAATGTTCTTTTTTTTCGGTACCGGTACTAGTTTTATTTTGTTGTATTTATCCACGACCTTAAAGGCCGGTCTATGAAATATTGTCGGGCATAACCGGTCCGTGGCGCAAAAAAGGTTGGGGACCGCTGCATTACAGTACATTACTTAATAACTCCAAGGAGAAGGTAATTTGTTACACTACGCGTTACATTACTTTTGGGTTTCTCTGTAAAATAACCTGAAAGGCTTTGTCTGATAATAAAACTACAGTCCCACAGAGCAAGTTTCTATTCACAGACTGCTGGAGTAGCTGTGAAGCACATAATGATCCTTCTTTACTTTATACTAGCACCTGGTGTGTGTGTGTGTGTGTGTGTGTGTGTGTGTGTGTGTGTGTGTGTGTGTGTGTGTGTACATATATATATAGAAGTAGCAGCTTTATGAAATAAACTCCACAGTATTTCATTTAGCCAGTGTATTTACATCTTAGTGAGGTATTCTGGTGTGATGCTAATTTGTGTCAGACTACATCAGACATATTTTTGCTGAGTGTCAGGAAAATGTAGTTACCTTGTTAAAAATGAAGAGTTTGATCTTGTTCTTGGGATGCTGGAGCTTCAGCAGCCGTTCGAAGAACACTGTAACAAATGGAGTGGGCTGCTGAATGAAGATGCCAATCACTACCAGAGGGTATTCATTTTCCTGTTAGAAACACACACATTAAACAAAAAATAAGTGTCATGTTCTACCAGGATGAGGCTTTATGCCATTTTTATCAGGCATCAAAGGTAGCTTTGGGAAATAATATGGATACAGTTTGTCAGGAAATGTAAACAGACCTGAAGAGCTGTGAGTGACCGTAGATCCTCATGACACACTGTGCACCCAGACTCAAATGTCCATGTGTTGGGGATGTAGTTTCCCAGGTAGTTGATCTGGAGCTGGAAAACAGTCGTGTGCTCTTGTAGTTCATTTTATATCAATCTCATATCTAATAGTCTAACACTGGTAATCTCTTAGTCGTACTAAAAGATGAAACAGATTTTCAGAATCTCAGACATATAGGTAGATTATCATTAGATTACTGGAACGACCCCTATATACATATTATGTATCAGAATCAGTGAAGCACAGGCTGAGGTGGGGATGGCAACAATCGTCCAACCCAACTTATTAATCAACCAACACACCAACAGTTTCAGTTCATTTGAAAGCCTGATACTTAACCCAGTCCACCCAAGAAGGCAAACTAAAAAAAAGGTTTTATTTGTTGTTATTCATCGTCCACCCGGGCCTTATAGGCAGGTACTAAACATGTCAGACTCAACATGGCATTTAATCTGTTATTAGACTCAGTTGGCTTCTGTCAAAATGTAAAAGAACCCACCCACCACATTAATCACACTTTAGATCTTGTGTTAACATATGGCATAGAAACTGAACATTTAACAGTGTTTCCTGAAACCCTCTCCTGTCTGATATTTCTGATAACATTTACAATAATTGATTACACAGCAGTGGGGAGTAGACTTTATCACAGTAGATGTCTTTCTGAAAGTGCTGTAACTAAGTTTAAGAATATAATCCACCCACTGTTATCATCTTCAATGCCCTGTACCAACATAGAGCAGAGCAGCTACCTGAACGCTACTCCAACAGAGGTTGATTATCTTGTTAATAATTTTACCTCCTCACTACGTACGACTCTGGATACTGGAGCTCCGGTGAAAACTAAGGTCTCAAATCAGAAGTACCTGACTCTGTGGTATAATTCTCAAACACGTAGCCTAAAGCAGATGACTCGTAAGCTGGAGAGGAAATGGCGTGTCACAAATTTAGAAGATCATCATTTAGCCCGGAGAAATAGTTTGTTGCTATATCACCATATTAGAGTACTTCGCTCTCACACTGCAGGCTTACTTGTTGTTCCTAGAGTATTTAAAAGTAGAATGGGAGGCAGAGCCTTCAGTTTTCAGCTGAGAAAACTGCTGAGAGAATACAAACTCAAACTTTTCGAGCAGGTTTTATTGTTTCCATTAAAAACTGTGCGATGTGACTACAGCTTAATAACATGGAACAGATAAGTTGGTACCTTTGTTGGTCCGTTTCCGTGGACGATGACAGGCAGAGTATCATACAACACATTTCTGAGTCGTACTTGACTATCTTCAAACTTCAGCACCACATCATCTGGAAACATAAACAGATGTAAAACAACTATCAGACTTGTTTTTAAGATTTGAAATATCAAAACTACACATTTACATTTTAAATGTTTCAAGAGAACACTGAAGATAAATAGATCAGATAGACAGAAGAACAAGTTAACTACTGTAAGACCTAGCTACCACAAAGCATACACAATACTGTTACTGCTGACAGTATGTCATGGTCCTAGGTCATGTGACCCAGTGTTTTGTGTTTCCTTGTATGTTGATATTCATTGTTTATGTTTTAGTCTCATTTAGTTATCTAAAGATCCTTCTACAGGGAGTGCAGAATTATTAGGTAAATGAGTATTTTGTCCACATCATCCTCTTCATGCATGTTGTCTTACTCCAAGCTGTATAGGCTCGAAAGCCTACTACCAATTAAGCATATTAGGTGATGTGCATCTCTGTAATGAGAAGGGGTGTGGTCTAATGACATCAACACCCTATATCAGGTGTGCATAATTATAGGCAACGTCCTTTCCTTTGGCAAATGGTCAAAAGAAGGACTTGACAGGCTCAGAAAGTCAAAAATAGTGAGATATCTTGCAGAGGGATCAGCAGTCTCAAAATTGCAAAGCTTCTGAAGCGTGATCAATCGAACAATCAAGCGTTTCATTCAAATAGTCAACAGGGTCGCAAGAAGCTGTGGAAAAAACCAAGGCGCAAATAATGCCCATGAACTGAGAAAGTCAAGCGTGCAGTTGCCAAGATGCCACTTGCCACCAGTTTGCCATATTCAGAGCTGCAACATCACTGGAGTGCCAAAGCACAAGGTGTGCAATACTCAGAGACATGGCCAAGGTAAGAAAGGCTGAAAGACGACCACCACTGAACAAGACACACAAGCTGAAACGTCAAGACTGGCCAAGAATATCTCAAGACTGGTTTTTCTAAGTTTATGGACTGATGAAATGAGAGTGAGTCTTGATGGGCCAGATGGATGGGCCGTGGCTGGATTGGTAAGGGCAGAGAGCTCAGTCAGACGCCAGCAGGTGGAGGTGGAGTACTGGTTTGGGCTGGTATCATCAAAGATGAGTTGTGGGCCTTTCGGGTTGAGGATGGAGTCAAGCTCAACTCCCAGTCCTACTGCCAGTTTCTGGAAGACACCTTCTTCAAGCAGTGGTACAGGAAGAAGTCTGCATTCTTCAAGAAAAACATGATTTCCATGCAGGACAATGCTCCATCACACGCGTCCAAGTACTCCACAGCGTGGCTGGCAAGAAAGGGTATAAAAGAAGAAAAACTAATGACATGGCCTCCTTGTTCACCTGATCTGAACCCCATTGAGAACCTGTGGTCCATCATCAAATGTGAGATTTACAAGGAGGGAAAACAGTACACCTCTCTGAACAGTGTCTGGGAGGCTGTGGTTGCTGCTGCACGCAATGTTGATGGTGAACAGATCAAAACACTGACAGAATCCATGGATGGCAGGCTTTTGAGTGTCCTTGCAAAGAAAGGTGGCTATATTGGTCGCTGATTTGTTTTTGTTTTGTTTTTGAATGTCAGAAATGTATATTTGTGAATGTGGAGATGTTATATTGGTTTCACTGGTAAAAATAAATAATTGAAATGGGTATATATTTGTTTTTTGTTAAGTTGCCTAATAATTATGCACAGTAATAGTCACCTGCACACACAGATATCCCCCTAAAATAGCTAAAACTAAAAACAAACTAAAAACTACTTCCAGAAAGATTCAGCTTTGATATTAATGAGTTTTTTGGGTTCATTGAGAACATGGTTGTTGTTCAATAATAAAACTTGCCTAATAATTCTGCACTCCCTGTATTTTGACGAGGTCGCCATGTTAGTTCTTTGTTTATCACCCCCTGTCTCCCTCGCCCTTCATGTGTTGTCTCCCGTTTCCTCTTCTTGTTTACGTGTTTTTCCCCCTGTGACCCATTCCTTCTGTCACGTGTGCTTTCCTCATCGTGTTTAGTTATATCCATGTCTCATCTCCAGTCCCTTTTTCATCCTCTGTAAGTTTTTATGGTGTTCGCGTTCCTCGTCAGTCCACCATGGTAAATCCGTGTCTTAGTCTGTCATGTCTTTCATGTCTGCATGTCCTATGTTGCCAAGCTTGTGTCATGTCTGCGTCTCATTATGCTCCCTGTTTTATTTTGAAGAGGTCTGGTGTCCCATGTTCATTGTGTTTAGTTTCACTTCCTACGGTGCGTCATTATGTTCATTCTAGTCAGCTGTTTCCCCGGGTGTTTCCACTTGCCCTGATCGCCTCCTGTGTGCATTTAGTCTGTGTGTTTTCTTTCATTCCTGTCAGGTCGTCTGCTGTTTGTCTTCAGAGCTGAAGTTACAGCAGCATGGAATTAATCAAATATATAGCTGGACTATGAAGCTGCAAACGTTTTGAGTTCTGTCATGATCCTGGGTCCTTTTGACCCAGCGTTTTGTGTTTTCTCTTCGCGATTTTGGTTCTGTGCTCTAATTGGTATTTACCCTGTTCCCCCCCATGTGTTCCTGTTTTATTGTGAAGGTCTGCGTCTTATGTGAGTGTTTTCAGTTTGCCTCCCTGGTCTCGTCATGTTAATCTCTCCCAGCTGTGTCTCTCACCTGTGTGTAATCTCCCTGTGTTCTCTGAGTGTATTTAAGTTGTATTTTCTGTCTTAGTAATCGCTGGTTCGTCTGTGTTGTTTCCCCTCGGTCTCCCTGCCTCTCTTCATGTGTATTTCCCCGGATCTCCCTGCACCGTCATTCCTGGTTTGTGTTGTTAGTTTACCCAGTTTAGGTTTCGGTTTCATGTTCACACCCCGTTGCTGTTTGTACCCACTGCTGTAAATAAACACTCACCTGCACCAGAGCTGCCGCCTTTTGGGTCCTTACTACAAATCCACACGGCTTGCCCCGCAAACCGTGACAAGTTCATATCAGTATCCTTTGACAAATATAATATTAATAGCATTTTTATAACAAATTTGTAAAAATCTTAGTTTTGGAGAGATCTATATATTGTCCTATATATTAGTTGGGTGTAAACCAACCCCACTTACTCTAAACCTCTCTTTGGCTCATCAATATAAATAAGAATTTATAATATTTGGTGGAGAATATATACAGAGACAGCATTTATGGTACAGCTGACTATGAATGAGAGGAAATGATTAAAAGCCTCATAGATATTTAATTTTCTAGGTATGATATAAACACCTTAAAGATTTGAACGTGTTTTCAAGAACTCATCCACACAGTACCACACTGGAATTCCCCCCTTAGCTTCTAAACACGAAACTGGAAGAGTGGCTCCAGCAGATTCCAGTTACAACATCCAAGGTCTCTAGCCATGGGAGAGCACAGTGTTAGGAACAGCTAAGATACTGCTCAGTACCTGAGAGTACCTTAGCTTGAGGAACACACACATACCATCCTCCGAGGGTGACAGAGACATTGTTATATGATATACTTAGAACGGCAAACTTACTGAAACCAGCCAGGACAACACACTTGTCACACTGTTAGATCAGAGTCAGTTCACAGAGGAGCTTTATGACACAATAGTTTCCACTCTTCCTACATCTGATCAGATCTGCTGAGCCTGTACAGATACTATTAAAGAAAAATACAGACTTTCCAATGATCCCTCAATATCCTGTGTCTCATGAAAATAGAAAAGGTGTTATATCAGTAATTCAATTTAAATCTAGACTAGACCGAGATATAATCCCAGCAAACATGCCCGGTGAGCCCACAGTGAGCAGCTCTGGCTGTGTGGCAAAGAAAAAGGGCCCATAGCAGTTTTGCCCTTTAATAGTTTAGGAGTAGTTTTACTTCACGGGGCCCCTATCACAGTTGACTGTGGGCAACCAAAAGACTGGGATAAGTATGGGTTTGCCCCACAGTTCACCCACACTTACCCCCTGTTGTCTGGATGTCATGTTATTTATAATAAGCAAATGCCATACAGGGAAATATGATTACTGTGGACTATTTTTGTCTTTCAGGGCAAGTGGCTCCATAGTGTAGTGATTAAGGTATTTGAGTATCAAGCAGAAGATCCCTGGCTTGGGTGCATGAGGAAACATAAATCCCTAAAAGATTGTGTCAGGGAGGATACCTGGAGTAAAAATCTACCAAATCAACTGGCAACATTTTTACCCACACTCAATATCAGCTGGTAACTGTGGGGTCTATTCATTCACATGTCAAAGTGTGACACATATGTGTAGATATCTTCTGAAGCTAGCAGAAGTGTGGCCTTGTAGAAAAGTCGACTTTATCGCTGTTCCAGAAAGATGCAACAGAGATGGCATTTCACAGAGCATCAGTTCTGATGCTCTGTGAAATGCCAGAGAGAGGAAGTAATTTCACTGGCAGGTAATGACCAAACTGTGAATTGACCAGAAACCCCACTGTCCAATGTGTCCATATCATCTGCAATATAGAACTAGTTAGGATAAAAACTGGCTAAATACTGCCCAGAAATAGCCCTAAAATGGACTGCAGTGTTGATGTCAGTGACGTCAACTTTTATCAAAAAACACACTCACACGTTGTTACTGTCAGACCAATGTAACCAAGTCATTTTATACTTCATACAGAAAAGATGACCTGCGTGTCATGGATAACATTTTTTGTTCTGCTCTAACCTGTGCTACTCAACTTATCCACACCTGGATAAAGGTTATGTAGCCTTCTCATAGTGACACCTCATTAAGATAACTCCTCAAAAGACCAACAGAAGGTGTCCTCACCATGGCACCATACTTATCCTAGAATGGTGGGATGCACCCTCATCTACAAAGAAACGATGAAGGTACTGCCGATTGTCCTCTACAGTTGAGCAAAAAAGCAATAAGAACCACTCCTCGACAATGAAAATATGCAAGAACTGGAGTCACAGAAGTAGACGTGGGGACCAATATAGGAGCATTGCAACCACTGGAGCTCCAGTGAGAGCTTTTCAAGGCCTACATCTTGTAACAACCATTATTATGGCATAACACCGTTATGGGGTGTCTTCCCATTATTGTAGTAGTTGGAGAGTCTCCTAGTGTGAGTGCAGCCATTACAGTCGAGCATGCTGCTCTCCGCTCATGTGTTTTAGAGAGACCTTCCCATTGTAATGGGCTGGTGCCTAGGCTCCGACTTGTCCGGCTAACCTCCATGCCAAATGCCCGCGGGACCTTCCTCACCAGACCAACATTACAATCTGCTTGAACCAAGTAAAATATAGATATCCAGCTATAGACATCATATACCTGAGCTTTCTGCAAACAGTGAAAGAAACGGACTCCATACCTTAACACTTAGCTATTAGCAAAAATGGTTGCTGATAATAGCCCAACCCCCCAAAACGACTATACCTCTGGGGAAAATCTTAGAAATATGGTATCTAACCAGATTCTTACTCTGAATGGCATTACCTTGGCCTCCAGTAACGCTGTGAGGAACCTTGGAGTCATTTTTGACCAGAACATGTCCTTCAATGCACATATTAAATAAATATGTAGGACTGCTTTCTTCCATTTGCGCAACATCTCTAAAATTAGAAATATCCTGTCTCAGAGTGACGCTGAAAAACTAGTTCATGCATTTATTACTTCCAGGCTGGACTACTGTAATTCATTATTATCAGGATGTCCTAAAAACTCCCTGAAAAGCCTTCAGTTAATCCAAAATGCTGCAGCAAGAGTCCTGACAGGGACTAGAAAGAGAGAGCATATTTCTCCTGTATTGGCTTCCTGTTAAATCCAGAATTCAAAATCCTGCTCCTCACATACAAGGTCTTAAATAATCAGGCCCCATCTTATCTTAATGACCTTGTAGTGCCATATCACCCTATTAGAGCACTTCGTTCTCACACTCCAGGCTTATTTGTTGTTCCTAGAGTATTTAAAATGGTAAATGGCCTGTATTTATATAGTGCTTTACTAGTCCCTAAGGACCCCAAAGCGCTTTACATATCCAGTCATCCACCCATTCACGCACACATTCACACACTGGTGATGGCAAGCTACATTGTAGCCACAGCCACCCTGGGGCGCACTGACAGAGGTGAGGCTGGCGCCACCGAGCCCTCTGACCACCACCAGTAGGCAACGGGTGAAGTGTCTTGCCCAAGGACACAACGACCAAGACTGTCCAAGCCGGGGCTCGAACCGGCAACCTTCCGATTACAAGGCGAACTCCCAACTCTTGAGCCACAATCGCCCCAAAAGTAGAATGGGAGGCAGAGCCTTCAGTTTTCAGGCCCCTCTTCTGTGGAACCAGCTTCCAGTTTGGATTCAGGAGACAGACACTATCTCTACTTTCAAGATTAGGCTTAAAACTTTCCTTTTTGCTAAAGCATATAGTTAGGGCTGGACCAGTGCTTGCTCATAGTGGGTCATATTATTATTGGGTTTTTTCTCTGTATGTATTATTGTAGCCTCTACCTTACACTATAAAGCGCCTTGAGAGCGACTGTTGTTGTTATTTGGTGCTGTATAAATAAACTTGAATTGATCCCACACAATACCAGAGAGGGACTTCCTTATATTGCCTTGCCTGCCAAACCTTGTGACATGTGTTCCCGACTAGACTTGTTCAGTTACACACAAAAAACTACCTGCCACCAACTAGACAACTGTTCTGTAAACAGTATGATTGTTATTCCTGTAAAGACACTTTAACTCTCTCATTCTTACAATGATCTTTGTACATTTTGGTGATGCAATAAAAGTAAATGGAGCACTCCCCTTGAGACTTTACAATGTGACTACAGACCTGTCAACAGAGGAAATAAATGGAGCATCTAAATGAAGTGTATAGTTTAGTCACCATCTGCTGACATCGTTTTGTTTTTTATGCACCTTGCTAAGGTAGCCAATGATTGTTCATTTCAGCAAAGGAAGTAATGCCACAAAAATTACTTTGGCAAACCATAATTATACCCTTCACCTTTGGGGTATTAAAACAATCACCACTTCATCATCAGTGTATGAATTTTAAGTTATTATCCAAAAATATCACCTCATCTATGTATCCGTAGGTCAAAGTGAAAATGCTAAAATTCAATAAGTTCCTTAAAAGGTTGTTAAAGTTGTTACTCTGTTACTGTTTTCTAACTTCAATGCTCTTTTCGTTGTTGCTTTTCGCCATCTACTCAGTATATTTTGTATTCTTTTCTTTTTCCTCATTTTTGTGATTTTCAGACTTGTTTCCATCACTTCGACGTGAACCCAATGCTCTCATTTTTATTGCCTGTTTATGCCCCGTCCTTATCTTCAATGTCATGCTGCTCTGTTGTATCTTAAATGCCCCTTTGGGATAAGTAAAGTGTCTCTGATTTCTGATTTTTCTGATTTATTGTCTGTTGTTTATCATTTTTCGTTATAATGTGCATGGTAAACAAGAGCAGGAGAAGATGCTGGGCAGTGTTACATGTGTTATCAACAACCTTGGCCTGCTGGTCAAAGAAAACAAAATTCAATGCACTCACCAAGTGCTCCATGAAGGTTCTGAAAGAGTCTGCATTTGTTGTCCAGGGTGATATTTATAGATTTCTGAAAAATAGAAATATATTCTTTTGATCTATTATGTTACATGTATCCAATAAGATGAAAACTTCTACAGGAACAAACAAACTGTGGCTGCTTCTTCAGGCCGATGTTGGGAATAAATAATTTTTCAGTGCCTCAATAATGCTATGCTTTTTTATTAATAAGTGTTATAAAGTTATGTAGTGTAGTATTAAGTGGACACAGCCCTGAAAATAAAGGCATGAGACCATGTGTCCTTGGGGAGTAGAAAGCTGCAGACTCACTCACGCTTGCTTGGGAAAATGTAGATAAGAGGGGACCATCTCTAGTGGAAAGTTACTGAGACACTGTTGTTTAGAGTAGAGATAGAGAGCTTCTGTAATAAAACCATTAGGGGCACACCACCATTTGGAGATCCACGGCAATGTGTCATGCAGGACGCATCTCCCTTCTAGAAGTAATGTGAAAGAGAAATAAAGTGCTAAATTGTCTACTGAGCAGTGTGTTGTCTTCCATCGGATGCCTCTGAGGAATCAAAAGAACTCGGTGAAGTGTTGACATTTAAAACCGAGCAGCGTATATTTACCTGCTTTCACATGATAGCTAACATCAGAATTGTACTGCCCTGAATTATGCTGCATTCAATATGAAAACGATGTATTTTCAGCACTATTGTTTTGTGTATTGTTCATCATTACCATCAAAAGCCTCTGGTACATGTTTCAAATTAAAAGCCTAACACGAACCAGGAAAATGTCCAATGAGCTAAAAGACCTGTAATTTGAACCATGTGGACAGAAAGTGCTGAATTTCAGTTAGCAGGAGATGTTATAAACATCACTTCATGTAATTACAGTGCTGTAGAGGCATTCATGAAAAAATAGTGGAATTTCATAAAGTTACAGCAGTGGAACAAGTCTTACTCTTTTTGATTGATCAGTGTAAACCTTGGTGAAAAACAGCTGATCACTGTCACCGTCGTCTCCTGTCCAATTAGCAACGAGCTCTTTGATGTTGGGAAGATAGCCAATGAAACCTGTGAGGAGACAAGAGAAATGAGACAGGAAATGATCACATATATTAGAAGTATACATTTGTTCATGACCTTCATGTAGACACAGTGAGGGAAAGTTAAGGCGTGTGTTTCGAGGAGCATGTCTAATGAGCTCTACCAGGTTTATGTCACCAGTGCAGTGCTGACTAACGACCTGCTATAAAACCATCTGCCCTATCTCATCTATCAGCAACCTGTGAGCCTCACATTTTAACGATTTTTTTTTCTGGTACTTCTTAAGCCCAGAAGGTGAGTGACCCTTTTAACCTGCTTATTTACACAGGTGGGGAGTAGTGTTTCTATGATTGGGTGAATGACGCATGTTGTATAAAGAGCTTTGAGTGCTGAGGTTGAGTAGTAAAGCACTACATAGGAACCAGTTCATTTACCTTCCAGGTTTTCCTGCTGGATGTGAGAGATACAGCAACAGCTTAACATTTAATACCATCTGAAAATTTTTTATTTTTTATAATTTACATTTTTATAATTGCTTACATGGCACCAGTTGACTAAGTATGCAAATGCTGAAACAACATTAAGAAAGTACTGATTAATAAAGTACTAAAACAACATTAAGTGCAGTGCTGCACTGCATTTGGATTTGGATCTGTTTACGTATCTTAGTGAGCTACTTCAGTCTCTGGGTTGATTTTCATTAATAAATGCTTTCTGCTGAGTTTAACTTCTAGTACTCGAGGTTAGAGAGCTATTATGTAGAGAATCAATAAAATAATTGGTTAGGAACTGAATGGACAAGTGACATCAACAATGGAATTGGAATTGCTAAATTCCAATAGATTCCCATCCCATATGAACACATATTAGAAAATCTGTTGAAACTGTCTCAATTCTGTGTCTGTGCGTTGGTCTTTTTGTGTTTCCTTGTTCTGTAGTGAGAGGTAGTGGGAGTTGGTATTCAGGATGCTATAAATGTGCCTGTTTTACTGTGAAGGCTGTTCTGTGATGTCTCCTGTCCCTGCTATGTGACTGCCCTGATTGTTTTCACCTGTGTTTATTATGTTTCGATTTATCTCATTGCCGAGCTGGCCTCCAGTATTTCATCAGCCCTCAGTGTGGCTACATACAGCAGTACTGTACAGTGTGAACTGTAGTTGCTTTGTCCACTCTGGCATTGTATGCACTGTTCTTTGTAACTTTGCTGTGTTTTGTTGTTTTCTAATTTCTTGTGTTTTGGATTTTTCCCTTGAACAATGATTCACTTTGGATTAGCTATTAAAGAGCTCCCTTTTTGAAAAATCCTTTGTGTGCTGTGTCCTGCATCCTAAAATTATGTGACCCTCCACACATGGCTACACTGTGACGCAGGTGTCTCTAATAAAAAAAATATGACATAAAAATATTGTTTTTTCTCAGAATAAATACTTCATGTTATGTAAAAACAAACAGACAGAAATTACACAGCAATATTACTTTTCTCAGCAGTACAAGAAACAACAAGACTGATAAACATACCCCCTGAGCCCAGGAACCTGTTGCCCTCCCTGACATGGGGATATTTGTCCTCCAGATGTCTGTCTGGCCAGATGAGGGTCTCAGAGGAGAACACAACCCTGTGCTTGGTCTGCTGGAACTTCTTGAGCAGCTCTTTGGGACCCGAGGCAAAAACCACATCGTAGCTAAGTCATTAAGGGAGTGAAAACAGAAAACGTTAGTACACAGTGCAGCTCAGCACTGTGTGAAGCCAGTGACACAGTTAAAACAAATGAAGGCGTTGTTATTATATGATACCAGCCAGAGTTAATTTGCCTGTGACTATGTTTACTACCAGAAAAGGAACTGCAACAAAAACAACACACACTTTCTTGATTTCACTATAATTACATGCTTCACCATAAAGAATTTTACAACTTTACAAAATGTCAGGACTTTTCCTTTAGCTGCCATGTACAGCTAAAGTGCATCAAATGTGCTTCAAAAACATGTCATTTAAATTAAATATGCATAAACACTGAAACAGTAATATCTTATGAATTTAGTATACTGACTCATAACATCGTAACACAGCAAATAAACTGCTATAAGTGGAGCTTGTTACTCAATTCAAAGCACGCTACCTTAAAAGACTAGAGAAACAGCAGAAACAGTTAAGAACTGCTAATATATTTTAAATAAGTAGCTATTAAATTTATACCGAGGCAATTCTTATACACCTGTACTCGATATTTGCATTATTTTGACCTGGACATGTTGAGTCAGTTGGCCTAGTTTGGTATAAAATGTGGAAGAGAAGAGAGGTTATATTTAAAGGTAAAGACTGCTCAGTGGTATTTAATATACTGGAAATTTTAGGTTTACATGTAAGTCCTCATTTTTACATCAGATACTGGCTTCTGTATACGTGACCTTTTGTTTTTTTTCTTATTTTTTAGGCTTCCTGCAAGACAAACTGAGGTGTAGCCTTTGACCTTTGTGTTACTGAATCTGCTCCTTAGTGCAGGATAAACAGGTTAGCTTAGAGTCATACAATGGATTCTAGGTAAAGCACTGCACTGGACGGGTGCACAGCAGCTGTGGTGTTCATGATCAGTGTCGAGTTACATAATATGAACTTTATGTGATGATGCTTAGATTCATTCACTGAAGTCCACCTTCACAGCAGCTTCAGACTGTCCAGCATAAACATTGTGCTGTCAGTGTAGAGGGAGACAATCAGCCAAGATATCTCGTGAAACATCTGCTTACATCTGGCTGAATTCAGTTCTGTAAAACCACAAAGAGCTGCAGGTCTGCTAAAACACATCTACTGCAGCGCACAATAGAAATAATTGTAAGTGTGATTTTTTTACGTGTTTACGCCGTTTACATGTGGACGAAAGGTGCACCTTTCGTCCACACGCAAACGGCGTTTTCGATCACTGAAAACTGAGATTTTTAAAAACTACTGCCAGGGTGGAAATTTTCGAAAACTCCATTTTTGCGTTTATGTGTGAACGAGGAAAACGGAGAAAACGCAGCGTCAAAGGTGTGCGCCTTTTTTGACATCACACCGTGCGCCACGTTATTGTTTCGGTGAAATGGATTTCTACAATGGCGGACTTAGACAAAATACTGTTACTGTTAATTTTACTTCTATACTCATGTTGTACACAACTATTCAAATGATGAAGTCACAAATGTGCATTCATCTTTACAAAGAGAGTCAAATGCAGTGCAGCTGTTCAATATCAATCACTTTAACTGTTGACTATTCATACTTACAGCCTGATTACATCATGCACTAATATTTAGTGCTTCTATGTTTTCCTTACGTATCAATGCCGAATATCACGCTCATCAAATGTTTGCTGTTGTTCTAACCATGTGGACTGATGTTCTTCCAATATGTCTAAATGCAGATGTGTTTCTAGTCACTGTTCCTACTGAAACACAAAGTGAACCGTCATGTCACAGCCACTGAGCTCTTTTCTTCTTATCGTTTTGATACATCAGAATCAACCTGCTTAGAGTTTACACACACAATGCCACACAGAATGACTGGATGTTAACTGCAGCCTGCAGAGCACCACAGTGCTGAAAAGCATCCAAACAGAGTATGTTTCTCACCTACTAATACAGTTCTTCCTTAATTTGTCGTCAAGCTGTAAAATTACATACTACACATTACTATATTTCGTGTGCTGACAAAAGGCAGAACAAGGCAGATTCATGTAACATGAAATGAAATTGAACCAGTGGCTGAATAACTAACACAGTATTATAGTGGCATAGGTACCCAGATAGACACTCTACCTGTCAATAAAAAGGATTATTTGGCCATCATCCTTCATCTCCTTCAGACCTTCTTTAAGAAGTCGTACTTTCTGGCCTCCTCCTGGGGCTGACATGTAGTCACCTCCCTTCCATTTCTGATCTCGGCCCAGAACCTTAAAAACATACACCTCATCTTTTAGTTTAAAGCTTTTAATGTATCATCCTTTAAAAATACAGCCATTAAGGTTATGTCTTTCCTTATTTTCTGCTTTATATTATCAACACATATTAGTATGACTGAAATCCACTGAAAAGGACCAATTTTTGTGTTTGGATAAAACTCCTTAAAGCACACAGCAGGGACTTGTTTTAAAGAGACTGTGAGCCCTCACGTCTACAGAGCATGAAATAAACTTTTTCGAAAACTTTGCCCCAGAAGTTCTTACCTTGACAGTATAGTTAAAGTGTTTCGCTGTCCTCAGAAAACGCCTGTAGCCATCAGTCTCTTTGGTCGCAACAGTCACAACTAGAAGTTTGTCTGGAAACCAGAGCATGACAGAGGAATTCAGAATGACTTAAGCGTGACAAAACTTTACAGTACCACCATAAAGAGTATTTATGTAACGCGTGTATGACTGTGAACTATAGTGTACAATAACCTAGCAGAAAGAAGAGGCGCTGTATTAGTAATATGATGGCATTTTGATGCTCGCATATTTGCACTTAAACACAGAGCTTTAATGCAGAGCTATACTTGTGCGATTATGTCGACATGTAGTTACATTTCTACAGAGGAGCAAATACGTTTCTTGCACAGGCTGTGATAAAGGCTTTAAGATGGTTATGGTTACGATGTAACAGTGAACTGCTCAGGGTTAATGTCGCTATGAATTAAGCCTGAAAAAAAGTCTCTAAACTTAGATTTTTATTCTTTGTGGGTGTATCACAGAATCAAGTCCGCATCCCCTGCAACTATTAATAATATAGGCTTCCCACAGGCTAACGTGAATGTGTTAGAGGCAATGATTACAGCAGTTCAGAGGAGCATCGTCCACGTCAGCGGCATGGCAGCCCTCCTCAGCCCGGAGCGACTACAGTTTGCTTTGAATTGGAAAGCGCTGACGAAACGTTAATAAACTCCGTTCATGTTTTATTAACAGTGATTTTTATTTTGGAAAACTGAAAAACAACTTTTCGACATGCATCAAGCACTACGAGACAAAGTGGGGAAATTTCGGTTTTTCTAACAGACTAACACTGATCCAAGGATCCGGGCTTTTCATAAAGATGCAGCCAGATAATTTGTCGCCATCGTCTTGTTTTGTCTGTAGTTCGGCTTCAACTCTTTCTCACACATTTCTGTGACACGCGTGGTTGCAACACAGCTTTTTTCAGCCAGTTATCAAATGAACTAAGTCTCCCTGTGTCGAGCTTAACTGGCCCAACTCGTCTCGGTACACATTTGCTACAAACTGCACCACCAACACCGTGGGGTGCGGACACAGCGTTATCTCTGCCAGCATTCCAGACTTACCTTCAGGAATTCCCTCTACTTCGGAGTTTACCAGAGCGGAAAGCGCGCAGACAACAATAGCTGAAAATAACAGCAAAGATGAAAATCTCATTTTTGCCAGGTTAACGTCCCTGTTTTTGAACCGGACTGGTCCCGTTAGCGAACGTCAACTACGGCTGTGTTGGATCTGCCAGCTCAGCCTTCTCTAACTCGCCTTGTTTTCCCTACTTTGCCTTTTCTCTCTCCTCCTCGCAGTTTCTCAGTGTGTGCACACAAACCGTGTATTTGTCTATACAGCAGTTACAGTAGAAGAATAACAGTAGTAAAACAGCAGTTTGGCATCTGTGTAAAGATTTGCCATCCAGGCTCTTTTATAACACAGTAGCCCACTTGTTAAAATCGCAAGCAAACGCCTACTTCCACAGTGGGCAGGAGAGAACTGTGCACATGGGGATCCTGCTGTTCCGCAGACATGAGTATCTGCACGTAGCCTGAAACGGTGGTTGTATATAAGTTTCTTACATAGACTATGGGTAAACTCAGTTTGTTAAATTAAAGCTCTCACTATAACTTGACCATGAAAAGAAAGAAAGGAAATGTTAAACATCAGTGCCAATCACATTATCCAAAGTAATCATAAACCTAACATTAGAACCCAAACGAAGAGTTTAGACAGAGGTATATCTAATGTGGTGTTGACATCCGATATATTTGCGAATACTGGTATACGAGTTCTTTGTTAGTTAGTGGTTAATTTAATTGACGTTAAAAAGTGTTATTGCATTCATTAAAGTCCAGCTAGAGGTTATTAGAGGTAGAAAAATCGGTACTAATGACGTTTTTAAGTAACCTCCAACATGTACAAACATTTGACCCAGAACATGCAATTCATCTGCATGAATGTAATGTCTTTGGTATGCTGTTTAACAATGGTGGCCACTCTCAAAGTGCAGCCAACGAGAACCCAGTGAGAAGTGCTAAGATAATCAACAGGAAATTGAATTGATAAGTGATGATGGTAATGGAATCGGAATCGCCAAATCCTTATTAATTCCTATCTCTAACCTGACGGAGGAAACATATGAGATGGAGATTAATCCCTCATTAATCCTTCCTTCATGTTTTAGATCTCAGATGGTTCGAAATAGCTGCCCTTTGTTTTAATTACTGCTTTACATTCTTGGCATTCTCTCGATGAGCTTCGTGAGGTCATCACCTGAAATGGTTTTCCAACAGCACTCCATCACTCTCCTTGTTGGTCAAACAGCCGTGACACAGCCTGGAGGTGTGTTTGGGGTCATTGTGCTGTTGAAAAATCAATGATGGGATGTTGCTGCAGGATGCTGGTAGCCATGATGGTTCAGTGTGGCTTCAATTTTGAATAAATCTCCAACAGTGTCCCCGCAAAGCAACCCCCACACCATCACACTTCCTCCTCCATGCATGTAGACACTATCAGTTAATCTTTTCTGTGTCATGGGTGGAACCAAACATCTCAGATTTGGACCCCTCAGACCAAAGCACAGATTCCCACTGCTCTAATGTCCACTCCTCGTGTTTCTTGGCCCAAACAAATCTCTTCTGCTTGTTGCTTTTCCTTAGTCGTGGTTTCTTAGCAGCTATTTGACCATAAAGGCCTGATTCACACAGTCTCCTCTGAACATGTAGAGATGTGTCTGCTACTGGAGCTCTGTGTGGCATTTATCTGGGCTCTAATCTGAGCTGCTGTTAACTTGTGATTTCTGAGGCTGGTGACTCGGATGAATGTGTCCTCAGCAGCAGAGGGGACTCTGGGTCTTCCTTTCCTGGGGCGGTCCTCATGTGAGACAGTTTCATCATAGCGTTTGGTTCTTGCGACTGCACTCGGGGACACAATCAAAGTTTTCCAGACTGACTGACCTTCAGTTCTTGAAGTAATGATGGGCTGTTGTTTCTCTTTACTTAGCTGATTGGTTCTTGCCATAATATGAATTCTAACAGTTGTCAAATAGGGCTGTCAGCTGTGTACCAACCTGACTGCTGCACAACACAACTGATGGTCCCAACCTCATTAAGAAGGCTACAAATGAACCCTGACAGGCACACCTGTGAAGTGAAACCATCTCTTTCTGCACTCAGTATTATATGTATGTTCTGCCTTCAGTACTGCAATTTACCCCATAATCATCTGATTTAAAACAAAATCTAACATACAACATTCTCGCCCCTGGAAATAGATCTAAGATGTTACCATCATAATCCGGCTACCCTTTCGGCGCCAGCTGTGGGCTCAAGGCTGGAGCCGAACAAAAACTCCCTGATAACGACTGTGTTGAGTCTGTTCCTTCCCATTCCATGCAAGGCCACCTGGGTTGGCTGCTTTGGAGTTTTCATGTTTTACATGCAGACTCAGGGCTGCTCATCTCCTCTTGATCTTTTCTTATTTGAACGTTGGTGTCTTAGAACCTCAAAGTTTAGCAGCACAACGCTGTGTTTGCTTTTTCCATCTGCCATCTGTGTTTATCAATGCAATATGTGACTAATCTTTATTTAATAACCACAAAGTAAACAAATAAAAGATGAAATATTTTATTTATCAAAGATACATGATTACACATTCATACAATGAATAAGGTTTCTATAAAAATTACACGCGGTGTAAGAAAAACATTACAACATACAAATAAATGTTATATGGAAATCTGACATTGTTTCAAAGCATAGTAATAAAATGTTAATTAAAAAGTCAGAATCTGCAAAGCTGTCTTGGTTGATTTCAAAAACTCTGCGCGCTTCACTCATCAGTAAATTAGGCTCATTGGTCAGATCAAAGCTATCCCCTGGTGTTTCAGTGGCTGAAGTAACACTCACTGTAATGACTTTATTGACGGTCTGGGAGAAGTTCGCGGTTGTGGCCGTGGGGTTACAGTCGGGGGGATATTTCCAGTTGGTGAAAGTCAGGCAAGCAATAACTTCCAGTCACTCGGGGTCGCTGGAGTTGAGCGGGGGTGGGATATCCCCCCACAAACAGCTGTTTCACATGGATCAGGTTAAACCCAGGCCTCCTCCACTCTCTGGAGGAGAGCAAAGTGAGAGCCTGCTTTTCTGAAATTGCTTTGGGGTCGCACTGTGAGTCAGAGACATCCTCATTTTACCCACACTGGCTGCTGTGTGACTTGGGGATCCTTGCTCAGGTACGACCGTCTCACGCTAAGGTAGAGTGTGTGTAAGTCTGACTTTGATTTTCTTTGTTTGGATTAAACAAACACAAATGAAACGAATCAAAGCCAACGAAGCACACAGCCTCCAACTCCCCCCATCTTCACTGCCCTCTGTTGTTACAAAAGCACCGATTTAATCAAAAATAACCTTCTTTTTATGGTTCAACACATTTAGTCTCTCTCTCTCTCTCTCTCTCTCACACACACACACACACACACACACACACACACACACACACACACACACACACACACATACACACACAGGTCACCAAAACAGTTTCTAAAAAGATGACATTTTTGTCCAAAAATTCAACTTTTTTTTCTAAAAATGACAACAGACCAATATGAATTATTCCATCACTTTAATTTCTATCTCAAACATTCTGTTCATCAACCTAGTCCATCTCCCCTATTTTCATTTTATTTTTTGGGTAAATGATTATTGCTGAGGTATGAAATATCATAATTTTATGATATTTATAAAAATGAAGACTCGTGTTCCTTAGTCGAGACCACCTGACATGTTCTCTCTGTCAGTTCAGACAGACAGTCGCTGTTATGGAAAGTAAACGCTGATCTCCTCTCCCCTGACTGCAGCTGTCGTTATTCATGTTGTACCCAAACATCAGCAAGCATAAAGCACCAGTAACTCCACTTTGCTCTGGCCGGAGATGTTGAATGATCAGTTCCGCAGGGTTTTCCTGTCCAGCGCTGTTTGTCGTAAAGTTACTGGTTTTTGCGACAGTTCCGGTTGTTATGTTTGCCGATCTTTTTTTTTTTTGCCGATTTGCTTTACGATATTTTTGACAAACCAGAAGTGTCAGCCTATGGCAAAGTTGTTTCTGGAGAGAATTGTTTTAATTATTTATTCGCTTTTTTTCTAGTTGAAGTCAAACGGAGATCTTGAAGTCTCACTTCTGAGGATACGAGAGAAGCTTACAATGCGAGAAGCGTCCGCACATTTTGTGCAGCTTTTGTCCACAGTGCTAGCTAACGAGCTCATTTAGCCTGAATCCTGTTTGTCAGCTTTCGTTCCTGGAGAAAGTACGAGCGAAATTCCATGTGAGACATCCTCGCGTGTTCACCCCGAGCCCTCTGGGTGCTGTCCTTAGCAGACTCACAGCCGGGTTTTGATCGTAAAATGTGGCTACAGCAACGACTGAAGGGGCTACCAGGCTTGTTATCAAGCAGTTGGGCGAGAAGACTCCTTATAGGACTGTTGCTCTTCCTCATTTTCTATTGGTACCTGGGAGCCGAGCGAAGATGGAGGTTATTCGGTGGCTCGGCCATGCCCGGAGGGGCGGCCGGCCAGTGTCTCTTGACTGAGATCTACAGGTGGAGGTCTCTGGTAGACCGAGGAGAAGGCATATACAGCACACCTCAGGAACGGCTAGACACGCCTTTTGTAACTGGAAACGGCCATATTCTGATTGATATTGAGTCTAACAAACTTTGGGTAGCCTCATCCTCACAGCCTGGCTCGGCTCCGGTACACCAGACTGAGTACTCTCCCAGAGTCACCGTCAGCCTGGATGGGGCGCTGGCCGAGGCTGAGGCTAACATGCTGTGGTTCCGGAAGGGATCGGTCCTGTCAGTCCGCTGCGCCTCACCAGCCACCCTGCAGTCAACCCGAGACTGTGTCACTATTAGAGAGGAGTTTATTGCTCATAGAAGCAGACCTAACGTATTTCTGCAGCGAATCCATATCAACAATCCCTCCGATAGGGCGCTTAACCTGGACTTATCGTCTGGAAATCCCTCTTTCGGTAGCAAGTTCTCCACCAGTGTGGAGAAACTGGAGGACAGAGAGGTAGTCCTCTCCTCTGGCAGGGTGCCGGTGGAAAAAAATAGGATGGTTCTGGTCGTGGTGGTCACCAAAAAGCTAAGCAGCAGGATCCATGTTTTGGCTAAGTCAGAGCACGTAGACAGCATTGTGAGTGTGGTGTGGACCTCAGAGTCCATCGAGTCCTCAATGCTGGAGGAGACCTTCAGCGCCCTCAAAGACGGAGCCAAAAAGGAGCTGGAAGAGTTGCTGAGGACCAGTGAGGATGACCTGGTCAAACACCACCAGGAAGCCTGGAGGGAGCTCTTCATTTCAGGTGAGGAGTAGCAGTAGCTGGCTGCACCAAAAGCGATCACAGATGGTGTCACTGTACAGCCATAATGCAAGCGTGAGAGTAAGCAAACCTCCTTTAAAGCTAAATAAAAACAGTGCAGTGATTTGCAAGTCGTCCAAAGGTGAAGCTTTTTTTTTAAGTTAGTAACTATTGTGTCTGCCTATAAAGACCCAGTTTAGTGTCTGTAGTTTTTTATTGGCAGTCACAAAAACACAACATTTGTTCCCATTTCTTTAGTTGAATCTACAAAAATACCAAAAATAACACAGAAGTAGCAAGACTAACAAATGAACTGAATCAGCAGCTATCACTGGAATAGGATGTGAGTGACCCTGTCTTTAATTTATTAAAGCTTCCTGTCAGCCAATAGTGTCTCTGTGTACAGTTAAATGTATTTTCAATAGCTACTTTCACCTGCTGTGTTATTCAGAAGGGGCCCAGGGAGTCATGTGAAGCTATAACTCTGCTTTTTGTTTCCATTCAGGTATTGAAATGAGGAAGATCATCGACTCCCACACGCCATCGAGCCGCACTGTGAACACCACCCTCTACTACATCTTGTCCTCCTCCGCGGCTCCGCTTCTGGACCAAAGGCTAAATGGCGAGGAGCGCGCCAGTCTCGAATCCAGTCTCAACTACGCTGACCACTGCTTCAGCGGCCACGCTACCATGCATGCAGAAAACCTGTGGCCTGAGAGAGTAAGCAGCACTGCTCAGATCCTGCAGCTGGTCACGCTGTGGACTCTGACTTTGCACAAAAGAGGCTGCAAGGTGTTGGTAGCTGCTGGGGCCCATGGAGTCATGCAGGGCATGGTGCTCAGCTTTGGTGGCCTTCAGTTCACAGAGAACCATCTTCAGTTCCAGACCGACCCAGACGTGCTGCACAACAGCTACGCATTGAGAGGCATTCACTACAACCAGGACCTCATCAACTTGGCGGTGCTGTTGGATGTGGACGGAAAGCCTTTTCTCCACGTGTCGGTAAAGCCGCAGGAAAAGCCGGTGAAGCTGTATGCCTGTGAGGCCGGCTGCCTCAACGAGCCCGTGGAGTTAACCTCAGAGATCAAAGGCCACACCTTCCCCGTCATGGTGACGCAGCCCATCACGCCGCTGCTCTACATCTCCACAGACTTGCGGCATCTGCAGGACCTCCGCCACACTCTGCACCTCAAGGCCATCCTCGCTCACGAGGAACACATGGCCAACAGGTACCCAGGCCTGCCCTTCCTCTTCTGGTTCAGCGTGGCCTCGCTCATAACTCTCTTCCACCTTTTCCTGTTCAAGCTCATATACAACGAGTACTGTGGACCCGGAGCTAAGCCTCTCTTCAGGAGCAAGGTATAAACAGCAGAGATGAAGCAGAACTGAACCCTGATGTTCTCTGCTCGAGTGTGTGTGTGTCGCTGGCTCAGTGCTCTCTCTGTGGGATGGGTTCTCAGTTTTGACTTTAACCTTTTCTGTCAATGAACTGTTTTCTAAACTCACATGGATCGTTTTGGCATAATGACATTACACACCTCTCCTTTCCAGCTCTTTCTACAGTTTTTGTTTCATGTTGAATGACTTGATAAAGATTTTCACTGCACATGTTTACTCTAAGAGGCTGAAGGCAAAGTCAGATCTCAGTTAAAAGCAGAGTAGCAACAAAGAGTAGCGTCCTTACAGAGTTGCAGTAAATCATTTAGTCTGCAGTCCTCTTAGCACATCTGTTTGCACTTCATGTTCGTTGTGGAATGTAAAACATTGTTGATTACAATGGTGAAATTTTGAGCACAAGGGGCTACTGTTTCATTATTTTTCTCCTGCTAGCTTACCCATCAATCCAGGCTGGTGTCTTAATCGCCTACAATAATGAGTTTTATGGTTGCTGTCAGGTTAAACAGTAACAAAAAGTCGGGAAATTAAAAAGAATAGGAAAAATGAATAAATGTACAAACAGATATCTGTGCTGTGATTTTGCTGATCAAACCTGGATTTAGTAAAATTGGTTTAATGTTTGAAATTGAAACCATGTGATCTCAGTTTTCTCAATTCTTTCTCAACTTTTCAATGTCAAAAATTCGGAGCTCCTTTTCCAAATAATCCCTTCTTTTAAAAATTGGCTTAACATGCCATGTTTATTACCCACATTCCTGTAGTGATGAACGATCTCTGAATGAAATGAAAATGATGGTTTCATTGTTCTATGACACTGAACAGTCCTCTTGGAGAGTTGTCCATTAGACAGGACATCATGTGTTTTAAATGTGGAGCAGCAATAATCAAACAGCCTCCCACATGAATTCACATTTAAAAGGCACCTTGACTGAATGTGTGCACAGCCTGTTATACTAACATTAAGACCTGATATAATAATAACAAGCCGCCATTGTTGTTTAAGTTGCATTGCAGTCTGGGTAATTCAACAGATGGTTCAAACTGAGCTGGAAGACATATCTGACATTAAAGCAAGGCGAGAATGTCAGTGCAGCCACTGCTGCCCTGCTGAGAGGAAGAGTGGTCATCATTTTATGATCACCTTATACTTTATACACCAGCTGATTGAACTTGGCTAAACCTCTGCAGTTATTGCTGCCTCTGTGATCAGGGTCGTGATGAGTACCAGTTTGCTTTCAGGAACAGGAACTGCGGCTGTGATTGGTTTACCACCCAGCAGGAAAGCATTTCTTATTTTTCATGTTTCTCAGACTATTCAAGGGTGTTTGGACTCTATCTGCCATTTGTCTGCTCTTTTAGGTGATTCGTACCAAGAACACCACAGTGTTGTGGGTATTGTCTTCTTCCACAATCCTTTCTAATAAGAAAGAGACCAGTGTCACTTCCCCTGATTCCTTTCAGCTTGAAATCAAAGCCAAAAGTAGCACACTGTGCCATGTTTTATACTTTGTGTAACCTGTTAAGTGGCAGTTGATAAAGACTGCTCTGAAGTGCCATCAGTTTACATCATTTACCCAGAGTGCATTGCTCATGTAAAGTAATTATAGGGTATATGTGTCAAACATTGAGGATTTTTAAACCAGTGACAGGTACTCCACAGGTTAGTGCTTTCATTTTGAAAAGCAGTTTTATGCTCCCAGTATAATGTTTGACTGAAACAAGTTCATCAGTTCATTTTGGAGTAAACCATCGGCCCAGAAACGCTCTGTTCATTAACAATACACAACAAATAACAGGCAGTCACAGAAAACACGAGCCAGCGTTAGCACCGCTCCGATAATGAAAGGAAATGTTAAACTGTGAAATCTGCAAATCGGTATCATATCGATCTGGAATATGTAGATTCTCTCATTTTATTTATTGGTTTGTAGACAAACCTAAGTGGAGACAAATGAAAGGCTAACGTGTTAGCTCTGCAGTCAGGTGTTATCGGTATTTCAGGAGAGCTTTCTTTGCTGTCTGATGGTGTCTGCTCATTTCTTTCTTCCTCGTTTCTTCACGTTTTCAGCACAACAAACAAACACACATCAATTTGGAAGCATAAAATACCAAAATTGGACATTTGCAAGAGAGGCAGGTTAAACGTTTCTCAGATCAGCATGAACCGTGTGCTTTCTTTGCCAGGTCTCTTTCTGCTGTTCCTTTCCCCCTGCGTTTTAATGATGTTTTATATCAAATCACTTAATTAAATGATGAGAAATATGTGGATTTGTCTCTGTCTCTTTTTTTTCCCCTGCTGCTCTGTGATATGTTCCTATGCTTTGGTCGGGGTCCTGTCACTCTCAGCATGTCTGTTTTTCTCCTGGGTGGAGTTGTTGGGTTGGGGTAGCCAGCTGTTTTAACCTTTCCCTCTGACTTCACCAGGTGACCAGCAAACATGAGGATAACTGCCGTGACTCCTTGGACACTGAGTGAATGCTGCAGCTGTGTGATGCACACACATGTGGTCCTGCTTGAGCTTGGGGGGGTATTAACATGGATGTGCTGACCTGTAAGTCACAGTCGTCATCTGCTGCAGAGCGCTCCTGTAAAACTAACTGGTTAAAATGGAATTTAGTTTATTAACCCAGAAAATAGAGCTCATAAACCCAAAGCATGATCCAGTGATCCAAAAACTAAGTGAAAGCAAAAGTTTAGTACTAATCGTCAGTGTTGGTTAAAGTGACTGTGACTAACAACAAGGAAACTCGAATGAAGATTATATATATATATATATATATATATATATATATATATATATATATATATATATATATATATATATATATATATATATATATATATTTCAGTTATATTATATTTCAGTTTTTATGACCAGAGATTGTGGCTGTTTGACCAAACCTCTGGTACCAGCTTCTTAAAAGTAAATGATAAGATTTAAGCTACAGCTGAGTCAGTTTACCTGAGTTTACATGATTCTTGCATTTTTCAAATAATTCTGGCACTTTAGGTTTTGTTTGTCAGTAATGAGACAGAAGACATTCTATTGAAAAGGTGTCGAACAGACATTTTTAAGTTCAAATGGGGATGATGGTAGACATTTTATTCATCAGAAAAGCTGTTAGGTATCATGTGCAATGTACGTGTTTCTAATAATTTAATAATAACTTTCATTATAATAATTTCTAAGGGAAGCATGTAGAATATGGAAAGTACTGGTCCCAACACACAATCCTGCAGAACTCGTGCATGAGGAAAAATCATCATTCAGATAAATGATGTATCAGACAGATGAGATTAGACCAGCACAACTATTTTAATGCCAACAGTTTATTCTAGTGTCTGCACAGAGCTCAGTGTCAGAGGCCATGACAACATCATTAGTAACTTGTAGCTCTGCTGTTTTCTATCTTTACTGAAGCACTTCAAAAACAATTTGCAATTGACTATTTATAACAACTTTAATAAAATAAATAAATCGAAGGTTAGAATTGATTTCAGAATTTGCAAAAATACTTGTATCAAATAAAGGGTTTTAAAAACAAAGCAAACTCAGTTTATGTGTGTACACATTTCTACTACTTTTAACAAGTTGCAAAAAATGTTTTGTATTTTTCAACTGAGGTTCTTACGTGAGTGTATGTTCATGAACACGTTGTAGCCGAGAGGATGTGAAGCTTTTAGTTTCTGTTGTGTGTGCCTTATAATGAAGAAAGAAGCTAGGGTGATTTCTGATCGTGTAAATTTAAAGCAAATGATTTTTTGTCTTACACTGGGGAGAATAAATCACGAATTATTGTGAGAAAATATTGAAATGTGTTCATTTTTTCTCTCTTCTTTCATCTGGGACCCATCGGACCCAGTGTCGGCTGAATGAAACAGAACTAATAGGTGAACAAACTGCACATAATTTACTGAACAACGATTTGGCAGCGTTGTTAACCCAGGATTATCTACATGTCTAATTTGGCAAAGGTTTTACACTTCCCAATGCAACCCTCCTGATTTACCTGGGCTCGGGACCAACATTAGGAATAAACTGGTTTGGCTGGTTTCCAAGCAGCCTATATCAGCTTCAGGGTCAAGTTTTATCGAGAAAAAAAAAAGTGTGAAACTTAATCTGGAGCCTATTCCAACTGTCCCTGGGCAAGAGACAGGTCAGGAGCCCATAACAGGTCTAACACCAAAAGATCTGGAAGACCACAAAAGAAGGTTCTGTGGATGCTAGAATATATTCCTTTGTGTCCAGTTACAAGGAATTGTCTGTCCCAGTGAGCACAGTGGCCTCCAGTTCTCTTCCTGCCTGGCAAATCTGAGCAATCAGGGTAGAGAGGCTGTAGTTAGTGAGGTGACCAAGAACCCGATGGTCACTTCAACAGAGCTTCAGTGCTGCTTTGTGGAGTGAGGAGCATCTTCCAAGACATCCATTTCTGAAGCACTGCAACAATTAGCCCTGTATGGTAGAGCTGCCAGACGAAGCCACTCCTCAGTAAATGATGCATTACATGAGAAATAAAATTCTTTAGTCTGATGAAACAAAGGTTCACCTGTTTGGCTTGAATGCCAATCATGATGTCTGGATGAACCAGGCACGGCTCATCACCTGGTCAGTACCATCCCCACAGTGATGCGGTGGCAGCATCATGTTGTGGGGATGGCTTTGGGGGGAGACTGGAAACTGAGAGACTAGTAATGGTCAAAGGAAAGATGAACGTGTACAGTGCATGCTTGTTGATAACCTGCTCCAGAGCAATCTGGACCTCCAACTGGTGCAAAGGTTCATCTCCCAACGGGACAATGACAGTAGGGACACAGAAAGGGACTGAATCAGGACCACTCTTTGAATGTCCTTCAGTGTCCCAGGAAGGGCGGAAACTTGAATCCAATGTAATATCTGTAAACCTTTATAAACAATATTAATGACATAATTTTATAACTAAATCATGAATTGTTTTGATGCAGCCCACCACAGCTGTATTTTAATTTTTGACACATCCTTGGTTTGCTTGAGGTCACATGCAGATGATCAGAGGACAGAGGACACGAGAAGCACATTGTAAAGAAACAATGAATGCAAGTGGTGAACTGAAATGTGACTGAATCAACGGACACCATCAACTTTACAGGTGCTCCTGCTGTCAGCCTCAACCTGAGTCTGTGTGTTTGTAAATTCAAATTCTTGCAAAAGTAATCATCATGTTTCTGCAGACTGATTGTTCCTGTTTTTGTTTTTGATCCAACGAACAAGCTGCTCATCTGATGAAGGCATCCTGTGACCAGTTGATATTGTCTGTGCATCCACCACCAATGAAATCTTTAGTCTGGCAGAGTGGAAGCAGACAAACACTATTCCATAAACATGGAAAAGTGTAGGTCTTCCAACTGATTTAGACGAATGTTGTCATATAGCAATGAAGCATGTCACCTTCACAAGGCAGCTTTTAAGTAATTAAAAGGCTGACACATATGCAGTACATTCTAGAATCATCTAAGGCAGTGGTCCCCAACCTTCTCTGAGCCATGAGTCGTAAGCTCATGTTCAAAGATGACAGTATGCATAATTGGCCTCCTCTTTCACTCCTCTATCAAACCATCTGTCTTTTCTGTCCAGAATGTGAACATCAGCATCCTCGAAAAGTGACCTTTGTCCTAGGGTGCAGATGTGCGGCTGAGTCATGTGCTGTCAGTATGGCTCTTCTATGTTGTGCCATGTGTTTATGGTTTAGGTTCTCCAATGTAACGGACTGAGCACTCCTCACTGCTCTGCACAGCATACACAATGTTGTTTAGTTTCTGTTTTGTCCTGGAGATAAACCTCCACAGACCAGTTTTAGTAGTAGTTCTGTGTATCAATACCAAGAAAACATTACGACGGCTTCAGTGCAATAAAAGCACAACAAAAAAAGTCTAAGTACCATCGCTGAAGAGCCTCTTGAGGGTTTCTTATTTCTGTTTTTTGCAGAAAGTGTATTGGATTGTTGTTGTTTCTGCACACTTCCAGGCAATTTCCAGGCCTCCTTGAATTTTGGAGAGCATCAGAAAGCACCAGTCTGTGTTTAACAAATGTTCAGGCAAATAGCCCCATTTTAAGTGAGTGAAGCCACTGCTGTGGTAGCTGCTCGAATATTTGGGCCATCTAAATAAGAACACCTGGCTATCCTGAACTTGCTTCATAGTTCACCTTTCTGAAAACCTTTAAATGTTATTGTGTATGAAGCAATGACATGCTCTGACAGAGTATACTCTTACACATTCCCAGCTGCATCTTGGCTCTGAGCTGGGCTGTTCTGCATCTTTACCTCCGTTTCAGTCAAAGATTACTAAACAAACAAAACCATACCTTCCATAGAGTGCAGAGTCTGGACAAAGCTTAGTTACTTTGTTAACTGTCTAATGTCTAACTTTAACACAATTAATCAGAGCCCTGTATTTAAGCTGGATAAATGAATAGTTAACTTCCTTGTGATTTTTTTAAATGTATTTTTCCCATAGCTCAAATACTGTGCAAACCAGACACAGAACCACGCAGAGTTTGATGAGACAGTCCTAAAGCCGGATCACAGGCATTCAGGAATAACTGACTCCATGCAGGACGCAGAGGCTTGAATAAAGTGTATTTTACTGAAACAGTAGGCACACGTTTGAAATCTTCACAGTCACCCTCCAGAACAAATGAAATGCTAAACTTAAGGTACAATAAACACTATAAAAAACTAAATGTATTCGTAATCAAACTTTTTTCTACACTGCCTAGCTAACACAGCAGCCCTCCCAACCACAGGGCACAGTGAAGTTTTCAGTGTAAACGTTGGAGCTGACGGCCATTAGGTCAGGAGACAGTTACAAAATATCCATCAATGAAAATTGTCTTGGGACCTGAATTCAGCCGAGAACTATTTAACATGGGGAATCCTGAGCACGTCCTGTTAGTGCAGTAATAGCTGAGCTGCCATTGAGAGCTGGGTATGTATTGGATGAGATGAACTATGAGTCTTTGAGCATGCTGATCTGAGCAAAGATCTTGAGTGCAGGCCCCAGTTTGATGTTCATGGTTCCCATTAGGTGGTCCTCCTTCAGCAGCAGCAGGGCCTGCCCGTCTATCTCCTGAGAGCGGAACTCCTCGGCAATTTCCAGGCAGCCTGCAGCAACAGAGCGACAACGGTGAGTTCACAGCTCACATGCAGTCCTTACAGAGAACAGTAAAACAATCTATCGGAGATCTCTTTGCAAGAAAAGGGAAGCACAAAGAGAGCGGAATCAGAACAGGACACTGCTGAAGTCAGGCATCAAAGAAATCACTATGATCGACTGTTGTTGTGTAATAATCAGATAGTGACAACCCTAATCTGCATAGAGGGTTGGGATTTCCATGCTGTTAACACCTGTTTGGTGTTCAGCTTCACTTCTTACAATTTCACTGCTGCCTTTGTTGTGTGGCCAAAGTCGACCAGTCTGATGTCCGACAGGATCATGTTCGTGACCAGCCTCGAGTTCACGAGTAAAAATCAGTAAAAATCCTGACTACTAAATGTTCTGCAGTCAGCTGTTAGTCAAGTGGCTTTATTGTCATTCCAACCACGTGTAGTGGTGCAGTACACAGTGAGACGAGACAGCATTCCTCCAAGACCATGGTGCTACATGGTCTACAACAAAGACACAACAGAATGATACAGACACAACAGTGCAATAGAAATGCACAAAAGACTGAGTGTTGTGCAAAAAGTCACTTGGTGTAAGAAGGTGT